ACATCCAAGCGTTGCACAGCCAGATGCGTTTTGGAACTGATCGAACAGGCCAGTGCTGGCTGCTACCAGATTCCGTAATCATGACAAGTTTTACGACCACGACGCTCAGCTATTTGTTCAGCGTCTTCGTCTTCGCGACACAGCAATTTTGATAGACACCGCCCGCTATGAAAACCAGCCAGCTGAATATTCAAAACGCCGTTTTGATGAAGGACCTACGCCGATATGGTTTCTTACGCTGCGAAGTCATCCCGCAGCCCGCAGCCGGACTAAACAACGCATCTCATTATCCATGAGTCCCTCGCCGAAATCTGCTGAGCTGCCCCCAGATATTTGAGACGCCCCTCCCTGCAGAGAGGTCCCTTAGTACAAATCGGTAAATCGCAGAGGGGGGTAGCGGGAAGGGGGAAGGCTTCTTAGAAGCACCCCTGCTTCGTAGAAGGCGCGCGCCTTCTCTATGGATACAGGGCCGGCACCTCCTAAGAAGCGGCCTCCTTGTAAGACGCCTTCCCCCCTCCCCCTGCCCCCCTGTGCGCGCCGCCAACCCTGCCTGCGGACAGGTCCAGAGATCTTGAGTCTTACAGAGGGCGTGGCCATATGTGAGACCGACATCGTGTGCTGGCGCCCAGGGCACAGCGCTGACGACTACCACCAAACGGCTGCAGCACCTCTTGTCCGACCAGGCTTCGCGATACAGTGAAGACGTCGAAGCAAGGACTCAGAGGAAGCAGGTATCCATACCTCTGCCCTTCCCCAGTCCTCCCCTTCTTGGGCCGCCTGGGAGGCCCTCGTCGCTACGGCTGGACTCGCCACGACAACCTGATCGCAACGCACCCCAGGAGAGGTCCGGGGAGGAGCGGTACGTATCGGCAAGGACCACCAGGGGGCTCAGTCGGCGCTCCGGTGTTCGGGCCGTCGCTCTCGTCGGTGAGCCCGTTCGTGGCTTCCCGGCTCGCCGAGGCCAGGAGGAGGAGGAGGAGCAGGAGGAGGAGGAGGAGAGGGAGGAGGAGGAGAGGGAGGAGGAGGAGGAGGAGGAGGAGGAGGAGGAGGAGGAGGAGGAGGAGGAGGAGGAGGAGGACGAGGAGGATTAACCTTCGTTCCATACAGCGGGAGACCTGACGCATCGTCACCTCTCCGTTGCTCCAACCAGGACCACCGGGGGCTCCGTCGGCGCTCCGGTGTGCGGGCCGCCACGCTTGTCACTGAGCCTGCTCGTGGCCTCCCGGCTCTCGCCGAGGCCAGGAGAGCCCCCCTCCCCTTCGCTCCATGCAGCTCAGGAGGGAAAAAAACACACAGGCACAATTCATCGTCGACTCCCCAGAAAGTATGGGAAAATATGGGAAGAAGTGGGGAAGACAAATGCCAAAAACATATGGAAAATATGGGGAATCTTTTTATTTGTGTGTATCTATTTGTGTGTCCCAGGGCCCCTTCAACTGCGGGAGCCCATGCCAAGAAACACCCTGCGTGCTTCCAGGGTGCCCTGGGCTTCTCGGGTTTCGAGGGCCTTGCTGCGGGAAGCGCGACGCTCCCAGACCAAGTCTCCGTGGACCGTCCTGGGGCCGCAGGATTGGGTCTCTTGTGGGAGGTGTCTCGTGGTCGAGCTCCTTCTGCAATTCCGCGTTTTGCGCTGCACAACAATCGGAGGCATGGTGACTGTGGTGGGGAGGAGCGTCGCGGGGCTGCCCTTGCCACTCGAGGTGGTGGCCGTCCACGCCCGCGTCTGCGCACGCAGGCGTGTGCGCGCACGTGTCGCGTCTGTGTGTTCAGGCGACCACTTGTAGTTTGTGCTGGGCGTCCAAGTAGGTCTTCGAGCTTCGAAGTTCGAGGGTTCGAACTTCGAGGTTCTAGGTCTCCGGGCGTGTTCGTCGTTTCTTGACGGCTTGCCGCCCTCGGGATGCGTTCCAGCGGCTGCGCCTCGCCGAGAGCGTTCCTGGGATGCCCAGATCGTCCAGAACGGCCGCCGGAGGCCCGAGTTATGACTCCAAAAATCAAATTCTACGGCGAGCGAGGGGGGGAAGCGAGGAGGAGAAGGCCCTCTCAGAGGGCGGCGGGACTTCTCAGCAGCCCTCGGGCCTTTGAGGAATTCTCGGTGTCTTCGGGGAAGGCTGAGACCACTTCTCGGAAGGCCGGGGGACTTCCGAGCCTGTTGAGAAGGCCCGCCCCTTTTCACTTCCCCCCCCCGGGCGCGCCGCTTATTGTTGTTTGTAGTTCAGCTCGTCGTGGTGTTTGTGGGTGGTTCGAGTTGGCACCTGCATGTTGTAATGTGTCACCGTGGTGCTCTGCACTGTCGGCGCCTTTTGGCCGTATGTCTCTGCACAGAGTTCGCAACATATTGGAATGCCCAGGACATCGGTCAAGTCATGGGGTACTTGATTGTCTCTGCCCTGTCAGGTTCCAGGATGTCCAACTCTTGGCGCGCTCTTCGGCGGCGAGCGGGGGGAGGACATGACAAGGATGAGGCTTTCACAGAGATTGCGGCGAGACTTCTCAGAAGCCCTCGCGCCTTTGAACAGTTTTCTCTGTCTTCGGGGAAGGCTTAGAACACTTCTCAGAAGGACGGGGCACTTCCGAATCTTCTGAGAAGGCCTTCTCCTTCTCACTTCCCCCCCTCGCTCGCCACCGAGCTCTGGGAACCCTCTTCGGCACTTTTGGAGCCGTCTCGGAGCCGTGATGGGCCCCTCTTGCAGCTCTTCTGGGGGATCTCGGAGCCCTCTTGAGGCCTCAGGGGTGCTCGGCGGAAGCGGCACAACGAGAAGCCACAACACTTTGCACAACCATTCGGAATCTAAAGGAATGTGCCATCTCGAGGCTCCTCTCTCCAGAAGAACACACTGCATAAACATAAACTTGTGGCGCTCCTCGCGGATTTCTTGGATCCGCGCTGGGCCCCCCCCCGGCTGTGCGTCCGGCGCTGCCCCTGGCGCGCTCCAGGGAGGGGGGTCCAGCGCAGATCCAAGAAATCCGCACAGAACGCCAACATTTGATGTTTATGACGTGTTTTGTTTTCTTTTTGTATTCCCGGGAGGCTCCGTGGCAACGTTCGGCAGTCTTGAGGCGGTTTGGGGACGTCTTGCAGGCATGCCAGACGCCATCTCCAAACACCAGGCTGTATTGTATGCCATAGTGCAGCTTGGGCTGTAGCCGGCAATCGAGTTGAGACCAGCCCCAGCTTTGGCAGTCTTCTGTTCTTCGCTTTTGGGCTCCCCACCATCTCTTATATTCCGTTGTGATATCTTTGGGCCCTCATCGAAGGGCGCATGATTTGAACCTACATCGTTCTGGCTACGTTTCGGCCGTATCTGCATCCATCTTGGAGCCATCTTGTGCCATCTTGGACGCTCTGGCCCCTCGCGGGACGCTCCGACCAGGTAAGCAGCAGCAAGTGCTCAGCACGAGCAAGGGCCGGCATCGGGTGGACAGCCATCGCCATCGCATGGGCCGCATGCGAGTGTGCGGGGCAAAAGTGCGTGGGCAGAGTGTATGTGCGCAGGGCGTCGGCCCCTTGCCCCCCTTTTGCGCGCCCTGGACCCCGTGGTGGTACTCAAAGGCGGAGGACTGGTGTGGACCTGATGATCGTGCCGTATAGTTCGAAGCTCACTCACTCACTCATGCCATACGCCGGAGCGCCGTGGGCGAAAGAAGACAAGGCCGGCCGATTCTCACCGCTTTGCGGGAGCGGCGGCACTACGGCGGTCGCATAAAACACAACGTGCGCGGCAGCAGGAGGAGGAGCAGGAGGAAGGAGGGAAGACACCCGGCCGGCGAATGATACGGACTTCGCTTGGAACGTATCCGCTAATTCGTCGCAGCTGCTGCACTCTGTGCCGCAGCTGGGCCCCCAAACGCACACAGCCCCGCGACGCGTGCAGTCAGATGGTGTGATTCCTCGATCTCCCGCTGGGGATCTGGCCACAGAGGACGGGTTCGGCAGCCGACCATGGGCGCCTGGTATACCCTCTTCATTCCATCTTTAGCGTCAATGAGCGTCGGTGAGCGTCTAGGGGCGATGGGATAGTGCCGATTTAGCGTCGACGAGCGCCGATTTAGCGTCGATCAGCGTCGATTTAGTGTCGATTAGCGTCGGCTCGCAAGAGCCGACAAGATGGTACGGGAGGCTCCCACGAGTTGCTGCCGCAGCGGGAGGGCCCTCGAGTCGGATCGGGCCAGGACGAGGAGCGGGGCACCCCGACCCCCCCAGCCGCACTGACGGGGCCGCCTACGATCCGATTCGATGCGATTCGACTCGCCGGGTGGGGTCGCGATTCCAATTCGATGCGATCCGGTTCTGTTCACCGTCACCCGCACCAACCAGGGCCAGCCAGAAGCGGAGCGCGGCGGTTCGATGCCGAGCCGATTCGGGACGGTTCGCTGGCGATGCGGTCCGCTCTCGTTCCGATCCGATTTGGCGATCCGGTCCAGCGCAGACCTGCCTGCCGCCCCGGATCCTGGCCTTCCCGGGAGGGCCCTTCGGAGGTGGTCAGCGCGGCGGCCCTTCGGCGGCGACGAGCACAGCAACGAGAGCGACGGCGACGACGACCTCGACGACGACGACGGCGGCGGCAGCAACGACGACGACGACGACGACGGCGAAAGCATCGACGACGACGACCACGACCATGACGACGACGACGACGACGACGACGACGACGACGACGACGGCGACGACCGCCAAACGCACGACGGCCCCCCGCCTCTCGGGGCCGCTCGGGGGTCGTTGGCAGCAGCCTGGCAGCCGCCCATCACGCGGAGGCTGTGTCGTCGTCGTCGTCGGCGTCGGCGGCGTCGGCGTCGTCGTCTTCGTCGTTTCTTTCGTCGTCGAGGCCGCCGCCGCCGCCGCCGCCGCCGCCGCCGTCGTCGTCGTCGTCGTCGTCGTCGTCGTCATATCGTCGTCGTGTTCGTCGTCGTCGTCGTCGTCGTCGTCGTCGTCGTCGTCGTCATCGTCGTCGTCGTCGTCGTCGTCGTCATCTCGTCGTCGCTGTCCCCCCCCCCCCTGCCAGGTGTCGCGCTTCTGGCGCAGCTCGCTGCCGATGGCGGGCTGCGGGCGTGGCGGGGCCCTGGCTGCCCCGATGATATCGGCCCCGGCTGCCGCAGCCTCCGCGGGCCCCCCCTCGGTGCAAGCCCTGGAAATCGCCTCCTGGAGCCCCCCCCCTCTCCCTGTTCTCTTCGGAGGAAGGAGAGGCGGTACCATTAGGTCGGGCCTGTCCCTCTACAGGAGGAATACTCAAGATGAGTCAAATAATAGTGTTTGCTATTATGTGTGCCCATCTGGGGAGCATTCTGTAAGTTTTTTTGGTTGTTTTTAGAATTTTCATCCTCAAGCCCCCTTTAGGGAGACACGCCCGATCTAACAATACCACCATCGGCCATACGTACGAGCGGCCCGTCAGTGGAGTGGCCTCTGGTGGTGCGGGAACGCTGGGGCCCCGCGATGGCCGAGTGCGGCGCGACAGCAGCGGTCGGCGGGCTTGGCTTTGGTCCCCTCCCGCGTCCTTCCGAAGCCGCGCACCCGAGGTCACTTTGGCCTAGGGTCACTCCTGCGTGTAGCCGACTCCACCAGGTGGCACATCCATCGAGGGGGTCACCGACGCCTCCCCGAGTTTGGAATCAGGGGCTGTCTCGAGCGAGTGTGGGGGACCACATCACCAGGGGGGCCCTCCTTAGCGCCTCGCGCTGGTTTTGGTGGTGTCCCCTGTCCTTGTTCCTACCCGTCGGCACGCCGCGGAGGTCACATTCTCGCCCTCCTCCTCTTTTTCCCTTCATGTTCCCTCCCAACTCCTCGCCCCTCCTCGCTCTTCCTCCTCGCTATCTTCCTTCTCTCGTAAGGCAAGAAAGCTGCATGAGCATTATCTGTCAATTGTCCGCGCGGATTTATATATCTGCACTTGACCACCTTGGCGGCGCCTGCGTCGCCACCCTTGGCGCGCTCCATGCGCCAGGGAGGGGATCTCAGCGCCTATCCGAGAATTCCGCGCATACATTCGAAAGCTAATCTCATCCTGCTGTCGCCCTTACAGTCGAAACGGGTAGTAAGGATGATCGACATCCCAAGGGTACCCTTGCATCCTTGCCTGTGCGGTAATCTTCGGTGCATCCTGCACCACTTTCGATGGCCAACCCCGCTCGAGAAGCTTCTGCATGGGCGTCCAAGGCCCCCTGCACTCTGATAGCCGCATGCTTACTATCAGTTTTGACTGTATCTTCTTGTCTCCCCTTCTTATCGAATGGCATTCGGCCAATGCCGCCACCGTTCCTGAGTTGTGAGTGTGAAGCCCATTGGGTGTTCGTTGAGATCTCGTGGGAGTCCTCTCGGGGGCCTTTTGGAGGCAGTTTGGAGGCCTCTTGGGGGCCGTTTGGAGGCCCCATGGGGGCCTCCTGTGGCCTCTTTTGGACCGCTTCGGGGCCTCGTTGCGCCTCTTGGGGGCTCCCGCCTCTTGGGGCCTCTTGGGGCCTCTTGGGCCCCTCTTGGGGCCGCCTGGGAGCCCCCTTGGGGCGGAAGGTTTTTTATCCCTCCTCGCCCCTCCTCCCCGCCCTCGTCCGGTCTCCTCCCTCCCGGCTCCCCCGCGCGCCCCAGCGCCCCCGTGCGCCGTGTCACGACGACAGGTGTTTCGCTAGGTACTATTCTTAAGTCGGGCCTGTCCCTCTACAGGAGGAAAGTGCAAGAGGAGTCAAACAAAATAGTCAGCGGACGACTTTTCGACTGTGCTTGACAATTCTTGGGTATTGTTTTGGTTATTTTCAATTTTCCCAGACTCCGCATGTAGGAGGACATGCCCGACCTAACGCTAGTTTCCTGCGCCGTGGGTGCGCCCTGGCCTCGGCCCCAGCTGCTGCCGCGATCCCCGCTGCCCCGGCTGGCCGCTCCGGCCTGCTCATCGCGGTTTTCTTCCACGTCTGAGCGTTTTCCACTCCCCCCGTCCCGCCCACGCGCTTTCGCATGCCCTGCTGAGGTGAGCTACGATGTGTGGCTGATCTGCCATGGTATGTTCACCCGCGCCCAGTTTGGCGTCACATTTTCCTTGCGCGTGCAATTCAACTCCCTCGTCCCGAGTTTGGTCTTTTCTCCTCCTCCTCCATCCCCTTGCCTGACGAGTAGCTCCTCTCCGTCGCTGGCGTTTCGATTGGGACGTCATCACCATAACTGATTCTGAAGCCCGACGTTTGCAACCGCTTCACGGAAGGAGGGTGGATGTTTTCAATATGTGGTTTCTTTTTTTCGCGCCTTACACATTTGTGTGTAAATTTGGCGACAGTTCGAAACTTCGCACGTTTAGAGTCCAAGCGGTACAGGTCTGGCACGATTCAGGAACGTCAAGACGCAATCGTCACAGTGCTTGGCGGTGTTGAACTCCCAGAAACGGCGTTCTGGAGCGATGTAGGCGGTGCTTCGGCGGTGATGAAGTCCCAGGAAGAGAACGTGCTCTTTTCTAGTACGGCCCCCCTATGTGTACCCCGTGTGTCTCTGTATCCATGAATTCACCCCCGTACAATCCACAGGGTTCACTGCAACATCGCTGATGCGTCTTGGGTTTGCTTTGGTCCTCCTTTTTCCGCCTCCTCCCCCCCTCCCCCTCTCCGCGTCCTCCTCCCCCCTTTCCCTTCTTCGACCCCTCACTGTCCTGTCTCTCCTGGTCCTTTCTTACCCTCCTCCTCCCGAGAGACGTCACAATGTACAGAACGAACAACGAATCTTAGGCGGAAGGCCTGAATAGTTTTCAAATAAAAAATGCAAAGGAAGAGCATGCATGACGACAACGCACAATTATGTATGAACGAACATCCCCAAACGCATCAAGGACCAAGAGGCCCATGCGCTCTACGGTGACCATGAGCTCACTACGCCGCTTGCGTGAAGAGTGCGTCCGGAATGTACGCCAACCCGGCGCAGTCGTGTTTCGTATTTGTTGGTTTCACCAGGGATGCCCGATGCGTTAGAGGGCATTGAGTTATTGGTTGATGTTGCCGCAAGATTCGCTCTTGCACTCCGAGACGGGGTGGCGCAAGCTAGGCCGCATCTCCAGGCCACAGTAAAGGCACCGTTGTTGTGCGCACCGGCGCCCCCGAGCAGGCGAAACGGTCGCTCCGCACATGAAGACACGTACTTTCGAATAGCGGTCAGCTGGCAGAGTATCCCGAAGGTTCGCCAAGGCTTCTCAGACAAGGCCCACACATCGACCTGCTTTTACGTGTTCAGCATCGGTCCGTGTGTGTCTGGTGGAGGAGAGGGCGCGCACCCGGCAAGCTTGCCGGAGCAGCTGCGCCGACTTCAGGAATGGGGTCGGTTCCAGGTGCGGTGTGCTTCAGGAAAGAGCTCGGCTCCAGCTCCCACGTCGTGATCCCCTCGATCGCCGTGCGGGCTGCTGTAGATATAGGGCACAGAACCGCCCTCTGCACCACCACGCTGCCTGGGGCGGCGACAGGGAGAAGACGGGGCAACACCACAGCCATGGAGGCGTTGCGTATGCTCCCCCTGCGCGCGACCTGGTTGAGGCTGAGCCTGGGAGGCCCCAGGATGTTTGGACCAGCTGGTCGCGGGCGCGATGTGCACTTCGGGGTAATCAGGTACAGCCAGAATGCCCGCGTGCCCTATGGCTTTCCCTTGCCCGCGAACCCAGCGCTGCCTCTCGGACTCGTTCTCGATGGCACTGGTGCCCGTGTCGAACTCGTTGGTGCTCTGGATGTTGGAGTCGAGCTGCGCTTCCGAAGAGCATGCCAGCGACCGGTCATCCATAAAGAGAAGCTTGTGCCGTGCATGGTCCACGGCGACAGAACTTCGCATCAGAGTTTCGGCGCGCAGCTATCACCGTGGGCTAGGCTGCGCGTCCCCCTGTCCCGGCCCGATATTGTTGATGAGCTGGCAGCGGCAGTCCAGAATGCGGCGCGCCCTCCCCCCAGCGGCACCCACGTGGACCTCTGGAGAGACAGGTGAGTCAGCTTGCCGGTAGGACTCCTGACCGTTCTGGGCACGCACGACCTCCCTCCGAGCCGGTCCCTCCTCTCGCTCCCTCCACCTCTCGCACCGCGGCGTCGGACATCGTGGGTTCAGGGCAGGCTTTGGCAGGGCGCCCGGCGCCGCCCGCTTGGCCACAACGCGGGCAGGCATGGAACCCTCCTGGCCGCCCCAGGCCCCCAAACTTGTCTTCGAGGGCATAATGACGTGTGACACCCCTCGACTCGCGCTGGAGCGGCCGCGATCTGCCTACTCCCTGGGAATGTCTGGCTGCACCTGAATATGCCGCGATACGCGTGGATTTACAACGCTTTATAGCTGCACCTGCCTGGACTCATTTGGCTCGACCGCCACAAGTCGGCTGGCGAAAAATGGGAAACGAAGAATGACATAAAGATAAAAACTCTGAGGTCCGCGCGGATTTCTCGGATCGGCGCTCGGGTCCCCTGGCGGCGCCTCCGGTGCCGCCCCTGGCGCGTTCCGCGCGCCAGGGAGGGGGGTCGAGCGCCGTTCCGAGAAATCCGCGCGGACCTCCGAGTTTTTATGTTCATGCCATTTTTTGTTCCCCTGGAGGAGTCGTCGAGCCTAGAGTGCAGCTGCGATCTCAGCACAGGCTGCGGCGGTGCCGGCGGCCGCTCCTCCAGCGCCCGCCGGGCGACCTTAAGGGCACCGCCCACCGTCCACCACCCTGCCGTGCTTCTTTGTTTCCTTGGCCTCTCGGTGCTGGTCGGTTCTGCGCTCGGTGGTGCCTCGCGGTGTCTTGCTCGGTGGCGACGGCTTCGCGCCCCAGGAAGCTTGCATTAAGTCGGGCCTGTCCCTCTACAGGGGGGATGTTCAAAAATAGTCTGGGGACTCGACCATCTTTGATGATTTTATTTTTCTTGATTATGTTTTAATTCTGTCGCCTAAATCCCCCTGTAGGGGGAACAGGCCCGACCTAAGCCTTGCAGTTTCTTGCTCGGGGGCGACGGCTTCGCGTCCCAGGGAGCTCGCAGCGTTGCCGCACCCCTGCAGGTCGATCCTGCCTGAGCTGTCACCCGCCAGTCCCCCACAGATGGCGCCTGCGGTCACTTCTGTGGTGGTGCCCGTGGAGGCCAAAGACCAGCCCCTTCCACGTCCTGAGACAGAACAGGAAACAGCACACACATGAATGTTCGGATGTCCGCGCACCCCTCCAATGGTTGTGCAACTCGATGTGCTTCGTTTATGCGTGTCCCTCTCCTCGACCTCGAGGGCGGGGGGGGTGCTGGATCCAGGCAGAAGGACGCAGTGAGACTTGCATCCGCGTGGTGCTCCGTCGTGTTGGCGGGCCTGGGCGCCCTGTCTCCAGGAAGGCACCGTTCCGCGTGTGTTGCAGCCTGGCCCTTCAGGCACAGCAGACACGACAAGAGGACATCCTCTCCCTCGCCCACCCCCCTCCTCCTCACCCTTCGAGCAAGTGATCGGCTACATAATCGATTCACCCCAGCCTTTCTCCTCGTCGGTTCCACGACACATGCGTAGAGCGTTCGCAGAGATCGCCGAGAGCATTGTGCGCATATTTCCTTGACCCGATGACAGAAAAGTAAATTTGGGGTACATCTGTGTTGCAGTCGAATTCCTATTCGACCACTCTCCTCGGTTTCCCTCCTCACCCTCTCCCGAGAGCTATCTCTCTGGCATCCGAGCAGCCTGGTGACAGGCCCCCGCACGGGGGGGCCTCGGCGCATCCGACCACAGAGGGTTCCTGGGCCGGCCGAAGCCCGAATTGCCGCCGACGCCGTCGGTCTGCCGCTCCTCTCCGCCATGGGGGGGAACGGTTCCGGAGGGCAGCGGGTCCTCATGAGGTTCGTCGTTTTAGGGCCCCTGGGGGCCCCCACGGGGCCCGGGACTGTCAGGAACCAGCCCAGGAGGAACAATTGCTCCCGGGGGCATGGACCCCGTGTCCTCCTGGACCCGTTTCCCTCGGGACCCGTGTTCCATGTTTGTCACCGTGAATGCTGGCGATGCCGTCCGTCTGCCACAACTGTTTTGTCACTGTGAAGCGCGAGCCCAGAGATCCGACGTATTAAAAAGTTCGGCCCCTAGGGGCCCTCGCCGGGCCTCGGGACCCTCAAAAAACGACTCAGCGGTCCTGGTGAATGGGTCGAGACTCCCAGGGACTCCGTATTGAACAACTCATGACATCGGATCTCAGGGAAAACGAATAACGTCCGAGGAGGAGCAGGTGCCCATGCTGGTCGAAATCCTGGCCAGAGCGCGCCCCGGGGACAGGTCCGGGCAGCAGCAGTCTCGGTTCCCGTTGGCCCACGGCGTCGCTGGCGGCGACGACGACGACGAGGTCGACGTTGTTCTTCATCTCGCATGTTTCTTCGGCTTCTCTGGACGTTCTCGCTGCCACGGCTGGGCGCAGGCCGCAGAAGGGGGACCCTGGGCAGCGAGGCCCTCGCGGAGGCCCTCCTCCTCGTCGCTGTCCCCTCCCAGTGGCCACCCCTCTGGCTCAGCGTCGGCCGCGGCGCGGCCACGGGGCGAGATGGGCGAGAGGCCGGAGCGGGAGCGGAGCCCCAGGAGGGCCGGTCGCTGTCGCGCCGTCCTGCTCGACCTGGACGACACGCTGGTGCCGACCAGCGCCATCGACCAGCAGGTGATAGGCACATTCTCCACCACCGCCACCATCTGCAGGACGGGGGAGAGAGGGGAGGACGAGGAGGTCCTCCTCCTCCTCCTCCTCCTCCTCCTCCTCCTCCTCCTCCTCCTCCTCCTCCTCCTCCTCCTCCTCCTCCCTCTCCTACATATGGTAGCGGTGGTGGGAAATGGGCCCGTCGCAGCAGGCGATCGGCGCGGCCGCGCGCCTGGCCGCGGAGCGCGGAGCGGGCGAGGGTGCAGCGCCAGAGGCGATCGCGGAGAGCTTCAAGAAGGTGCCTACCAGCCTGGAACAGATCCCTATCACTGTGGTCGGCATCGCCTTACCCCGGTGCCGATCTCAAGGGTTCCCTCCGTCTCCGAGGGCGCAGCCCTGAGCTTGTCATCGCGCCGGGCGTGCCGATCTCAGGGGTGGGGACAGGTCCGAGGCTGGTCAGTTGCTGAGGGCGGAGCCCTTCCCGCCCGCGGGCAGCGGGGCCTCGCTGGCCGAGTGGAGGACCGCGCTCTGGGCGCGGGCCATGGGGCGGCCCGCGGCCGAGGCCGCCGCCGTGCACGACCACTGGGCCCAGGAGCGGCTGCGGCTGTTCGTGTTCCCGGAGGAGGTGAGGGGCCTGCTGGAGCGGCTGAAGGACCGCTATCCGGGTGCCTGCGGCAACCTCGTCCGCGTGCCAGCGCAGCACGCTGCGTTGCGGCCCCATTGGGGGCCGCCGAAGGTGCCGCGTCGAGCCGCAGCTCTGCTCCGCAGGCCCTTTGATTCGGCAGCAAGTCATGGAAGCCTTACGTGTCCTCGGAATGCTTGACGCTTCGCGTCGTATCCCCACCAGCCTTCCCTACGGGGACCTGGTGTGCGACTTTGGTGGCGCCACCCGGAGCACCAGTTTGGACCTGGCACCCATGGCAGTCGTCGCAGTGTACCGGCTTGCCGCCACCCTGGTCACACTCTGGTATGACCTTCGCGCCATTTTGGCTGCGCCCCAATTATGGTTGGCGAATTCACATGCGAGCTTCCCTGGACCAGTTCCCTGGCAGCAGCAGTCAATGCGCATACCTGTCGATTCAGCTCCCAGGTTTTCGCACGCTTGCAGCTCCCTGACAGCCCCAGCAGCTTGCAGTCCCCACCCCGGCGGTAGGTCCTGCTGAGCTCCGCGCGCGCGCCGGCAAGTAGTTCCGCTCGTGGCCCGAGCCGACTCGACTCGCCGTTGGCGCCTTCGCCCGCGGTTGCGACAAAAAGTATCCCCACCAGCTTCGGCTCTTGCGCGGCCCGCTCGGACCTCACTCGCCGCTGGCGCCCTCGCCTGCGGCTGCAACAAAAAAAGTATCCCCACCAGCCCTCGCAGTAGCACGCTCGGCGTTCGACCCGTTTCGAGCGCCCGCTAATCAAGAAGTGTCCCCACCAGCCCATCCAGAAACGATGCTCATGAGTCAAACAACGAGGGAGGCGTGGGAGGCTCTGTGGCCATCGCGAGCCGCCTTGGAGCGGTCCCAGGGCTGCTTGAAGCATTTTGGAAGCTATCTTGAGCTATTCAGAGCGTGAATTACCTACCCCGCTTTCGCTTCCAGGCAAAACCAAGTCATACCATACGCCTCCTCGTCAAGCCGCCTGACCAGTACATGCCGTAGTTTGGCATCGCTTGATATATCTTGGAAGCGAGGGTGGTCAAAAGCGAGGTAGGTTTGTTTGCCCCTAGCTATCTTGAGCCAGCTTGGGCTATCAGAGCCATCTTGGAGGTCATCTTAGGCTCGCTGAGGCCGCTCGGGGGCCTCCTGGGGTGCCTCTCGGATGCCTCTTGGAGCCCTCTTAGGGCCTCTTGGGGCGCTATTGGAGCCCTCTTGGGGGCCTCTTTGGGTGCCCTGGAGCGCTACTTGGGGCCATCTTGGATGCGGTCGGTCTAAGGAGGGGGGGTCCTCGATTTGTGCCCCCTTCCTCGGGGGCCACGATCCTCGTGAGGGGTGTCAAACATTGGCCCTCCCAGGGGCCGAAAAAAGGACACTCTGACGCATCGGTCCCCCCCCCCCAAAAAAAAAAACTCCGGGACGGGAGGGGGAAGGTTCCCCTCCCCGAAGGTAAGAGGGGAGACCCTCGTTAGACCACCTGTCGCCCAGAGGGCTGGTGGGGTTCCGATTTTAAAGTGCGCCAGCGTGCGCTAGCGTCTGGTAGTCGATGAGCAAGCGCAGCTCTAACGTCGATGTAGCATCGGTGAGAGTCGACTGGCGTTGATCAGCGTCTGTCAGCGCCGACTCGTCGGTGCCAGCAAGATGGCGATGGAGGCTCCCATGAGTTGCCACCGAAGCATCATGTCGCAGCTCTACAGTCGATCCGCATGGGAAGGACGGGCAACCTTCCCAAGGGTACCCTTAAGTCGGGCCTGTCCCTCTACAGGGGGAATATTCAAAAATAGTCAGAATATAGCCTGGGGACTATGTTTCGAGTATTATTTGACCATTCTGGAGTATGTTTGGAACATGTTTTATTTTTCGTCGAAAATCCCCCCTGTAGGGGGACACGCCTGACTTAAGGGTACCCTCGCATCCTGACCTCCTCGGTCCATCCTTGGCCGCCTTCGTTGGCCGCGCCCCGCTCGAGAAGCTTCGAGACGGCCTTGCAAGGCCCTTGCATCCTTATTGGGCGTCCTTATGAAGAGGGTTGACTCGAGTCTGCAGACCCCCGGAAGCTCCACAGGGCTGCAGCTCGTGGCGTTTATCGCCCACCCCATGGGGGAATGCCCGGGGAGGAGGAGGAGGGGGAGGAGGAGGAGGAGGACGAGGAGGAAGAGGCGCGGAGGAGGAGGAGGAGGAGGAGGAGGATAGGAGGAGGAGGAGGAGGAGGAGGCGAGGGAGGAGGGGGGGAAGGAGGAGGAGGAGGAGAGGAGGGAGGAGGAGGAGGAGGTGGAGGAGGAGGAGGACAAGGAGGAGGAGGAGGAGGAGGGAGGAGGAGGAGGAGGAGGAGGTGGGTGAAGAGGAGGAGGCGGCGGCAGATACGTAACGCTCTCTCTCTCTCTCTCTCTCTTTCTTTGTGTCTCTCTCTCTCGATACGGCACGTCACGCGCGGGGGAGGTGGTCGACGGGAGACCTTCCCGTGGAGCTGGCCTGGGGGCGTCGTGCTGTAGCTGTCCCGGGGGCTGTACTTTGGGGGGATCTCCTGCGCCGACTTCCTGGCCATCCTTGGGTCCTCCTGCGTTCCAAAATTCGGCGGCGAGCGAGGGGGGGAAGCGAGAAGGAGAAGGCCTTCTCAGAAGGCTCGGAAATCATCCGGCCTTCGGAGCAGTTTTGCAAGCCTTCCCCGGAGACAGCAAACCAAGCATCTCAGAAGGCGTGAGGGCTTCTGAGAAGTCCCGCCGCCTTCTGAGGGCCTTCTCCTTCTCATTTCCTCCCCTCGTTCGCCGCCCCAAAAACGGTCCTCGTCTTCGACGAATCGAAGGGTCGATGTCTCGCCTTCGGCGGAGGTCGGCGGCAACTCCGGGGGAGGATTTCGTATTGAGGGCATCTTGCGGCCGCTCGCGGCGACGCCAGTGGACAGGCACCAACGGGGTCCCTACGGATCCTCGGCGGCCTTCATGGGGCTCGAGCGGGCTCCTCATGTAGCGTCTTAGCCGCCTCATGGGTTTTTCCTTTGGGGGCGGGATGGTAGGTCCTTGTCGAGGAGGCGTTGGCCCGTCTGGACAGCCTTCCATCGGGCAGCCTTGGAGTCCATTTTGGGCATTTGGATTCCGCCGGTGTCGGCCTGACGCTCGGGTCCTGGGGGGGGTGCAAGCGCCCGGGTGCGACCGCGAGACGGGGGAGCTTCGGACAAAGATGCAGTCGGGCCTGTCCTTCTACTACATGAGAGATATTCGAAAACAGTCCACAAAGAAGAACCAACTGGGGGCGATGTTTTGACTGCTTGTGACACTGTTGGAGTATTTTGGGATCTTTCATTTGTCCTCAAAGATCCCCCTGTAGGAGGACACGCCCGACCTAAAGCCAGGCAGCCCTGCCACTCTGCCGCCCCGCCGCGTGCCTGCCGGGCCCGGTGGCGGACAAGATGGCGATCGTCACCAACGGCCACGCCGACGTCCAGCGGCCGAAGCTCGCCGCGTGCGGTGCGGCGGCGATCTTCGGCGAGCTCGCCGTGGTGTCGGGCGAGCAGCCCGAGGCGAAGCCCCACGTCTCCATCTTCCGCACGGCCCTGCAGCTGCTCGGCGCGGAGCCGTCCGAGGCCATCATGGTCGGGGACTCCCTGGCCGCGGACATCCGGGGCGGTATCGACGCCGGCCTCCTCGCCACCGTCTGGGTCCGCGGAGCGCAGCCCGACCCCGACCCTGCGGGCCCGCAGCCCAGCCACACCATTCGGGGGCGGCAAAGAGGGGGGTGATGACTAGGGGGGGAGGGGTATCATGGCGGGGGGCCATGATATCTCCCCAGATTTCACGGCGCCTCTTCTTAGTCCAGTGCGTTCCCTGGCCCCCCCCCCTTGGGCCGCGCACGTGCCGCTGGCCATGAGCTGCCCCCCCCCCTCCTGGACGCCCCCCTCCTTGGCCGCCCCCGAAACCATCGGCACCGTGGTCGAGCTGGAGGCCGTGCTCGACGAGCTGGGCTCCCGGTAGCCGGCGGCGCGAGTCGGCGCGCCCCCGGGTGCCGACGCGGTAGAGCCACGCCAGCGGCGCCGTGGCCGAGCGGGAGGCGGTGGCCGATGCTTGGTGTAAGTCGGGCGGGTCCCTCTGCTCGGGCCGAACGAAAGGGGGGGCATAGGGCAAGGGGGGGGGATACGAAATCTGCTGCATGCAGCTGGTTTCGGCCCCGCCGCCGGGCCCATTCCTCGATGCATGGGCGCCTCCCGGCGCCGGGAGGCGCCTGGAAAATCAGCTATGTGAGCTGATTCTCAAACCCCTCCTTTGCTATCCCCCCCTTTCGCCCGGCCCGATCTACACGAGGAATGGTCAAAATTACACCAGAGAGACGGATGGTGGTTTGAGGAGATCGATGAGGAGATGGTTTGATGGATGAGGAGATCGACCGGGAACTCGGGAACCGGAGCCCACCGAAATCGGCCCGGAACCAAAATGTCCAGGAACCCGGGAACCCGGAACAGGGAACCCGGGCACCCAGCGGCCACCAAAATCGGTGGGACATGTTGGCCAAATTTTTCAATTTCCGCTGGGGCCCATTCAGTGCAAGCACTGATTGGGGAAATAGTCCAAGAAATAGTTTGAGGACGATAGTTCTATTATTTTTGAATATGTTTGAATATCTTTAAGATTTTTTTAGTTTTCCTCAAAAATCTGCCTGTGGGAGGACATGCCCGACCTAATGCTCGGTTCGGTCACACGTAAGAATGACCTTTCGCCGCAGTGGCCTTTGGTGCGGACCTGAGGGGGCCTCCTGGGCGCTGAACGTGATCCGATATAGCGATGGCTGGCGCGCCTGGCGGCGTCCCGAACGGGTCACCCTTCGGCCGCGCACGCAAGGGTCGCTCTTGCCCATAGAATTACGCTTGCGTGTGCCGCCGACCCCCTGGAATGGATGACCGCCTTGGGTTCGGAAGGGGCTCGCTGTTCCTCAGGCCGTTCCAGGCCGCTCCCCGGTCGTTCCTCCAGCTCTCCTCGTGCACCTCGGGCGCGTGCCCAAAAGAAAGGGGCCTCTCGTTCCTTGGCCAGCGCTCCACCCGACTGCAGCCGAGGTGCGTCCGGCGCTGGGCATGCGGAGGCGGGCGTCCGGGATGTGCCGCCGCAGGGAGGCACGGGGCCAGCGCGCCGCGCAGGGGCGTCGGGGAGAAAGTATCCGCGCCCTCCTGGTCCTCCTCGGCCCGGGCGTTGCCAGAGAGTCCAGGCCTCCCAGGGCCCATCTCGATTCCTCCGATTCGATTCGATCCGACGTCGATGGCTTCCAGATCGACAACGTTTGATATGCGTTCTGCATGCTGCTGTGAAAATTGACAGGGATCTGCTGATCACGTGATTCGCGCTGCCACGTGAGCCCCCTTGGCGCATGTGCCCCATCCGTGCGCGTGTTCGAGCGGCATGAGGTATCGTTTGCGCGTCGCCGCGCGCGCCACTCGCCCTGCGCATTTGTATTCTAGCTGTGGGTTTAGCGGTGTTGGTTGTCGCGCCCCTCTGGGGCGTTGCAAGTAGGCACTGGGGCCGCAAAGTGATCGGACGAAGGTGTGCAGGGCGTGCCCGTCCAGGCTTTAGCGACGCGTCTGCCCGCTGGTTCAAGGGGGCACGCGCGACAATGACATCGCAAAACGCAGTTTCAGGCGCGGGCGGGGAGTAGTTCGCGTGTGGATCACCGGGTTCAGATTGGCTTGAGAATCCATCCCGCCTGCTCTTTCCGTGACGCTTGAGAGCACTTGGGCCTTACGCCTTATCGTCGCCAGTCCAGTAGCCAGTTTGGCATTGACCATGAGATCCCGCGACGTCGACAATGCGACGTGAAGCACCCACGGGGACAGATCATTTCCTCTGGGCGTCACTTGGTCGGTGGCCGCCTCGGTGCATGTCCCCTGCCTGCGCACCCTGCGCAGTTGTCGTGCGTGCCATGCCGCGCGCGCAGGCCCTGCGCCCAGCCCCAGACAATGTGTTGGTCACCAGAGCGAATTTCGAGCCGCATCGCGCCACATCACCAATGCACCGCGACGCGGCTCGATTTGGGGACCGATCTTCTCCACGCGGACGTCGCCGATGCATCGCCGACGTCGCCGATGCACCACCGATGTATCAATAATGCATCGCCGATGCATCGCCGACGCGTCGCCGATGCGGCCCCATTTGCTCGGGCCCCTATCGCGGATGCATCTGCCCGGGTCCCATCTGAGAGGCCACCATCGATTCGGGTGATGCCATAGGTGGCCCTGTGCTGAGATGGCCCCGGCTTTTTCCCAGGGAGGTCCGGTTGGCCTCCAAGGCACCCATCGCGAGGCCCGAAAGGCGGCTGTCAAATTGCGCGAACGGCCGGGGACACCTTCAGGGCTGGACCCCGATGCTCCCGTTCCTCCTCTCGCGCCTCTCCTTTGCCGTCGTTGTCGCGTCCTCGGCCTCCCACCGCTCGTAGTTTCCCTTGTCTTCCTCTTGGTCCCCCCTTCCCTTCCTTTTCCCCATCCTCCTCCCCAGCGTCCGCTGTTTCCTCTGGTTGTTTTAAATGTTTCTCTGGTGGTGGTGGTTTAGATGTCCATCGGCCGCGGGGCCCTGGATGCCGGATGCAGCCTCAGCGGCGACGCACTGCGTGCTGAAGGTGGTTTGGGCGCCCCTCGATCGGGCGACGTCCCTCCAGCACGTGGCCTGCGAGGTGACCCAGGGCCTCGCCCCTCAAAATCAAGGACAGAAAAAACGCCCCTACCCTGGTTTACGAGGCGCTGTGCTCTGAAACTCCTGTGGGCTGACAGGGTAAACCCTGCTTGATGTGCCGCGTCCTGGCGGCTCTAGGCTTTGGGGGTTCCCAGGAGGTTTACAGACCACGCACTTGTAATCCAGGGTAGGGTCGTTTTTTTCATCCCTCACAAAAGCCTGCTGGGAACCGTCGGGGCCATCATGATGACACAACCACGCAGAGACGTCCCGCGCTTCGCCAGTTGAGTTGGGGAAGTTGCCACCACACGCAGAGGGCAGCTCCTTGCGTGACGTAGGGTAGAGATCAAGAACACTCTCGACGAGCCCGTTGGGGGAGGGCGATGATTGATTGGGCCGAGGTTGAAGCTTACTGCGCAGACCCACTCGGCAAACCGACTTACATATAGAGTGCCTGGGCATATCCTGAGGAGTGCCATCTCGATCTGCGAGGAGGGAGGGGTTACTCTCAGAAAGTCCATGGCTCGCTAGGCAAAAGTTTCCCTTCGAAAACAACCGAAACCCTTTCTAAACCCTCAGAACCATCCGGGAAGGGTTCTGGGAAGGTTTTCAACGGGTTTCGGGAGGATTTTGGAAGGGTGTTAGTTGTTTGGGGGAAAACCAAGTCCTCGCGAACCCTGAGCTTGCTAAGGCTACTCTTCGCAAGAGGTCGCCAGGACTTGCGGGCCAGAGTGCCTGCCGTCCACGGTGTGGGCGCCGTCGGGGTCCTGCTTCTGGGCGGCGCCGTCGTCAGGGAGACTCGTGTGCGTTCCTCCCCCAAAAATCTTCCCTGTCTTCCGAAGGCTGCGTGTGTACACCGTTCTCTCGTGGTTTTTTCTCTCGCAGCGGCGAGTGAGGTGGGGAAGTGAGAAGGAGAACCGAAGAAGAAAAAAACACCATAAGCATGACCTTTGGGTGCTCCGCGTGGATTTCTTGGATCCGCGCTGGGCCCCCCCGGCGGCGCCTCCGGCGCCAAGGAGGGGGGCCCAGCCCAGATCCAAGAAATCCGCGCGGAGCGCCAACAGTTTATGCTTGTGCAGTTTTTTCCCAACCATCCTGTGGTGTTGGGTCCTCGTTTTGAAGAGACGGTTCCCGCGTTCTCCTTCTCTCCTCCTCTTCCCCCTCCTCCTCCACCGTCCGCATGCTTCCCGCACACCCAGTACAGCGTTTCGTGCCCATCCTCCCCATCCTCCCTGCATTTCACCCACCCACTACAGCGCTTCGTGGCCCCATAGGGAGCTCCAACGAAGGTCCCAGTGCTACCGTCCACATGCGTCCCGTACACCCAGTACAGCGCTTCGTGGCCCCATAGGTAGCCCCACCGAAGGTCCCAGTGCTACCGTCCGCATGCGTCCCGCACACCCAGTACAGCGTGTCGTGGCCCCATAGGGAGCTCCACCGAAGGTCCCAGTCCTACCGTCCGCATGCGTCCCGCACATCCAGTACAGCGTTTCGTGGCCATCACCCACCCAGTACAGCCCCATCCACCGAAGGTCCCAGTCCTACCGTCCGCATGCGTCCCGCACATCCAGTACAGCGTTTCGTGGCCATCCTTCCCCTTCCTCCTTGCGTTTCACCCACCCAGTACAGCGCCTCGTGGCCCCATAGGGAGCCCCACCGAAGGTCCCAGTCCTACCGTCCGCATGCGTCCCGCACATCCAGTACAGCGTTTCGTGGCCATCCTTCCCCTTCCTCCTTGCGTTTCACCCACCCAGTACAGCGCTTCGTGGCCCCATAGGGAGCCCCACCGAAGGTCCAAGTGCTACCGTCCGCATGCGTCCCGCACGACCAGTACAGCGTTTCGTGGCCCCATAGGTAGCCCCACCGAAGGTCCCAGTGCTACCGTCCGCATGCGTCCCGCACACCCAGTACAGCGTGTCGTGGCCCCATAGGGAGCTCCACCGAAGGTCCCAGTGCTACCGTCCGCATGCGTCCCGCACATCCAGTACAGCGTTTCGTGGCCATCCTCCCCCTCCTCCCTGCGTTTCACCCATCCAGTACAGCGCTTCGTGGCCCCATAAGGAGCCCCACCGAAAGTCCCAGTGATACCGTCCGCATGCGCCCCGCACGCCCAGTACAGCGCTTCGTTGCCCCATAGGGAGCCCCACCGAAGGTCCCAGCTTTACCGTCCGCATCATGCGCCCCGCACACCCAGTACAGCGTTTCGTGGCCCCAGAGGGACCGCCCGCATGCGCCCCGCACGCGCAATTTGAAATTTTGACGCACCCAGTACAGCGCTTCGTGGCCCCAATAGGGAGCTCCACCGAAGCCCCCAGTGGGACCGCCCACATGCGTCCCACACACTCATTGTGGCAGTTTCGCCACACAGTACAGCTTTTCGTGGCCCCATAGGAAACTCCACCGAAGCACCCAGTGGGACCGTCCGCACGCGTCCCGCACACCCAAATTTACCCAGCATAGCGCTTCGTGGCTCCCCTGAAGCTCTCAGTAGGACCGTCCGGATGCGTCCTGGAAGCCAAACTTGGCATTTTCGCCCACCCAGTACAGCGTTTCGTGGCCCCATAGGGAGCTCCTTCGAAGCTTCCAGTGGAACCAGCTGCATGTGCCCCGGAAACTCACTTTGGCATTGTCACCCACCTAGTACACCGTTTCGTGGCCCCATAGGGAGTTCCACCGAAGCCCCCAGTGCGACCGTCCGCGTGCATCTCACACACCCAATTTGGCATTTTCACCCAACCAGTAGAACGTTTCGTGGCCCCATGGGGAGCTCCACCGACGGCCCCAGTGCTACCGCCCGCATGCGCTCCCTCCCACCCATTGCAGCGCTGCGTGGCCCCATCGGGAGCTTCACCGAAGAAGATATCCACAGTTGCGGTACCCACAACTGCATATGGTTGGGTCCTTCGCCAAGATAGTTTTGTTCGTCGGTCCCTCGCGCCTTCGGGGCCCTGCAGATCCTCCCCCCCCTCGGCAGGCTCCCCGCGCTCCCTTTTCAGGGTAACGTACAGTGAAGTCGGGTATGTCCCTCTAAAGAAGGAGTATATTCAAACATAGTTTTGAAGATAATCTGGGCACGATGTTTCCCGTCATCGTTTGGCTACTTTTGAGCATGGTTGGGGTATGTTTGATTTTTTGTCCAACATCCGCCTGTAGAGGGACATGCCCGACCTCAACGTACAGTGGCGTCCCATGCCAAGAAGCACCCTGCTTGCCCCCAGGAGGCCCTATGGATCTTGGGTTTCGATTGTTATGCTATGGAACTCTCGACGCTCCCACACAGCACATCCATGGACGTCCTGGGGTCGCAGGGTTGGGTTTCTTGTGGGGGGTCTCTTGTGGACTGGCCTCTCCGCGGTAAGACTCGAGCACGCCGGAATTCGGGGTTGCCGACGCTGTTTGACGAGCGCGGATCGGATTCTGAGTTTCCGTGGGATGTGTGCAGCTGGAGTTCGCGACAGATTTCGGACTGGGTAACGTTCTGTGCATGATGGCCCCGTCAGGGCAACCCGAGTCCCCCGAACCCGAGTCGTTCGTCTCCCCGACCCTCCCCCGACCCCTTTTCCGAGATCACGCGCTTTTGTTTTATCTGACGCGCTCTCTCTCTCTCTCTCTCTCTCTCTCCAGTTGGGGCACCCTCCCCGGCCTGGGGGTCCCCGAAGCGTGGCGTCGGCGCGTGAATTTCTGGACGGTCCCCCACGAAGGGGCCGAGATCTGGGGGGGGGGCCCGCGCCGTGATCGAGATGACGACGTCGGGTATCCGGGTCTGGAGGGGCTGCGTCCGCCCATCCCCAGCGACGACACTGTGCGGCAAGCCCCTCCCCTTCCCGAGGACAATTTGTGTGTGTGTGTGTGTGTGTGCGTGCATCGTACCGCGCTGGGGCCTCCCGAGGCGCAGTGGAGCCTCGGCCCATGAATGGTACGGTGCATAGTGTCTCTCTCTCACTCTCTCTCTCCTCGTCTCTCTCTTCCCCCCTCCTTATGGGCCTCCATTCCCTCCTCATTAGTATTAGTATTATATGTATGCTTGATTTTATTCTTGACATTAATATGTTAATGTGTATTATTATATATAGATGTGGATAAATATCTTCACCCTCCCCCCTTCTGTTCCCCTCTCAGGGTGCTTGATTTGAAACGTCGGCTTCTGCGGCAGGCTGGCTTCGCAGTCGGCGCGCGACAACCCATTGGTTCGATGTCGACATCGAGTTCGGCTTCGTCGAAGTCGGCTGCGCGGCGGCTCGCGGCGTCGTCGAAGGCCGCACCCCATGTGGAATATTAGCGAAACATGGTCTCGGGTGCTGCGTCGAAACACTACCCACCGCGCCGGTTTCGAACATGGCGCGGTGCGGCTGAAGGGGATTCCGAACATGGCGCGGGTGCATTGGCACCGCTGTCGTATCCCTCCTCCTCCTCCTCCTCCTCCTCCTCCTCCTCCTTTTCCTCCTCCTACGTCGCGATGCTCGGCCCCTGCTCTCAGCCCCCTGTGTGCGCCCCGGCCGTCCTGGTCCCGCATCTTTGTTGCGCAAGCCCCATGGCAGGTTCCGGCTGCCCTCGGACTGGCTGGTGAGCGTCACCTCCGTGCCCGTGCAGCACTGCCCGCAGAGCTACGCCCTTGTCCTGAGGATTGGTCAAGTGCTCCAAGGCTGAGTTGTTCTTGAAAATCGCAGGGCGCGTGGTTTTCGTTGTTTTCCACTCGTCGCTTGTGACTCGACCAAAACGTGTTAAAACTTACACCCCGAGTGTGGACGTCTGGCAGTCGGCACTGTGCTGCCAGGAAGCGTCTTGAGAACGTAGTACACCCCAGAGGACATCGAGGACGTGGGCCACGGGCCGACCCCGGACCTGAAAAAACGTGGCAAACACGGATCCCGGCACTGAAGCAAGACGTTGGCCTGGACAGCGGAATACAGACGCCCCCAGCGCCTTGAAAGACCATCTCAGCCATACACTCTTGGCGCTCCGCGTGGATTTCTTGGATCTGCGCTCGACCCCCCTCCCTGGCGCGCGGAGCGCGCCACAGGCGGCACCTCAGGCGCCGCCGGGTGGGGCCCAGCACGGATCCAAGAAATCCGCGCGGAGCGCCCAAAGTCCGGGGTAGGGGGGGCACGCGTCGGAGCAGGGCCAGTCGAGACGACGGCGGCGTCCCCTGTGTGTTTTTGTGCCTCGTCCTGTTTGGGTTGGCCACTTGGAGGCTTTTGGTCGCCACGGCTGGATCCGCCCGGGAGGACTTGGCAAGATCGGCCCCGTGGCGGGTTCGGGGACCGATCTCGAGAGGATTTGCATCTGGCGGGAGAGAGCCGCCGTTGCCTCAGCTGGCCCTCCTCCAGAAGAGGTGCCTCGCAGTGACGTCGTGATATCAAATGCCAGGAGGGGGAAAAACACTGACAAAATGAATCGTCGTTCCACAGGAAGATGTCGGAAAACCTGGGAAGTGGGGGGGGGAGACGACAACCCAGAAGAGATGGGATGTTTCAGGAACTCCTGGGATGTTGGTGTACTTATGTGTGTCTCTGGGCCTGGGCCCCTTGAAAATGGTCAGGTGTGGTCATGGGTCATGGGCCGCGCGAGTGGCCGTGCCGGCGGAGGCTCGAGGGCACGCCATCATGCCTGCAGATGTCTGGGTGTCTGCATGTCTGGGGCTGTGAACTGGTTCCTCTCGGAAAGGCTGCGTGCTTATGATGCGGCTGGGCGCTGCAGGAGACAGTCCAGGAGATGGCTGAGTGGAGGCAGTGCGCCGTTTCGGCGGCGAAATCCGTATCCTACCCGCGCCGATCAACGATGTGGGCAATTCGATGGGCGACAGGGGTACGGGCAGGGATCGGAATTCGTCGACAACGTGGCGAAGTCCGAACCCTACCGCCCCTTCCTTCGATCCAGGAGAACCGATGGTCGGTGGGTAGTTTTCGGATGTAGCCACCTGTTTTTGAAGTACTGTGCGCAGGCGTCATGTCAGACTCATGGCACAGCGCCCCGAAGCCGCTATGGGCATCCCACACCCAGTTTCTTTCGGAGCCTCACCCTCCCGCTTCTCTCCCTAAGCCTCCCGACGCAAGGAGACGTCGATCCAGCAATTCGATTTTGCCACATGGCCAAATTCATATCCGGCATTCGTATGTGCATACTCTCTCCACCCCAGCTGGTCGATAGGGGCCAACTTGGGTCCCTTCGACCTTGCGGGTGAAAAAACGAACAAGGTCGACGCTGTTACGTCTCAGCATGGACACGGTTGGCGTCCATGTTGCAACATGCGTGGCAGGAGTGGGATGGGTCGCCCATCCCTCGCGAGCGGCCGATCTGTCGCCCTCGCCCTGGCGCCGCGCTCAGTGTTCTCTGCAGGGTCGAGCTCCCGCCCCGGCGCGTGGCGCGCAGTTCTCGCGCGAAGCTCTATTCGTCGACGCGCGAGCGGGCGCAACTGTCTCTACAGTCGGGGCGCTGAAGAAGGAACCCTTTTCATTGGGGAGGGGCTGGGTGCTCCTTGATCGTTTCAAAGTGTTGCCTCGGGTTTTCCCGAGGTTTTCCATGGGAAATCGAGGTTGAACTGATGGGAAAAGGGGGGTCTCGTTCCTTATCTGGGGTTCCTTAGGTCAACGCCCCGACTGTATAGCTCTCGCCTCGGTGCCGCGCGGTCGGCACGGCGCCCCTCCGTTTCATTGGCCGACGCCGGCTGGCCCGCGCGGGTGGGCGACCCGCCGCCCGCCCGCGCGGGCGCCGCGAGCACCCCGCCGGGGAGGCGGGTGCCCCGCACGGGCGCGGGGCGCGCGGCTCCTCCGCCGCCTCGCGCGAGCGCGACGGCGACGACGGGGCCGCGCGAGAGCGGGCCGACGGCCGACCTCGCCCACGCGCCGCGCCGCTTGCGAGGGGCAGCTCCAGCAGCGGCGAAGCGTCCTGGCGTTCCTGTTGGCCCACCGAGCAAGGTTCTAAGAACCCTCTTGTGGTCTGCACGACACGTTCTCAGAACATGTCTGGCTGGGTGGCTGATGGGCCGATGTTCCGTCACTGCTACCATGAGTAGGAGAGGGAGGAGGGGGAGGCGGAGGAGGAGGAGGAGGAGGAGGAGGTGGAGGGAGAGGAGGAGGAGGAGGAGGGGGAGAAGGAGGATGAGAAGGTGGTCCTCCCCGTCCTCCCCCCTTCCCCCGTCCTAGCCCCCCTGATAGCGGTGGGGGGGAAGTTGGCCCATCATTGGGAGTTCGGCGTATGCTGTTAGTCTCCGCCCCGCCCTTCGGAAGCCTGGCCGCTTTCCCACCGCTGCGCGGCCCGCGGAAGTTGCCCTTCGCCCTGTCGTCGGACCCTCCTCCTCCTCCTCCTCCTCCTCCTCCTCTTCCTCCTCCTCCTCGCTGCCGCGAGCGAGCACCTTCTGCTTACGAGGTGGGAACGCGTGCCAGTCCCGATTGCCAAGCTGGAAGGCAGTGGACCCGCATCGTAAGGCTGAACGACTGTCTACGGCTAATCCTCGCATCCTTCCCCTTCGGTCCATCCTTGGCCACTCTCGTTGGATGCGCCCCGCCCTTCTCCCAGGCCCCTGCGATCTTCTCGCGCGTCCTTCTTTTCAAGGGTTGCCTGTAGGCGGGGCCCTCTGCCTAGCTCGACCTGGCCTACAGTGGAAATCCTCCGGCCCCACCTTCTCGAACCTCATCCAGGGGTCCTACCAAAATCACGACGGGAGTGTTTGCTGATGTTCGGGGTCCCTTGCCAGTGGAAACCCATGCCAAGAAACGCCCTGCTTGCCTCCAGCGTGCCCTGGGTATCTTGGGGTTCGATGCTTTTGCCCTGGGAAAAGCGCAACGCTCCCGCACAAACAAAAAACAATGGACGCCCTGGGGTATCGGGGTCGGGCGTCTTGTGGACGGGCCGCCACTGTACTTGATCCGCGCTCGCAAGCTTAGGTGATCGTTTTTGTTATTCATTGTTTTGCCGATCGGCGCGGGCCGTCACCCCCCCCCATGGAGTAGATCTTGGCTGCGTTTGGCGCCTATCTCGAGCAGGTGGAGTTTCCCCCCCAGGCCGCACCCTTGCAAACAGTCGCACTAAGCAGAGGTCTGGAGCCAGACCCCCCCTCACGCCGAAGTAAATACACGCTCAATAGTCTCTGCTCCCCCGCTCCCCAGGACGGCGACGGCGCAGCTCGTGTACAGCGGCGACTGCCGCCCCTCGGACGAGCTCGTGGCCAGCCTGGGTACCAACCGGCTCCCTCTCGGCCAGGGGAGGCCATTCGCCACGAGGGAGAGGGGGGCCTGCGGGAAAACGCCTCCTGAGGTCGGGTGTTCTTGTTATTGTTGCTGTTGTTGTTGTTTCTGTTGTGGTTGTTGTTTTTGCTGTTGTTGTTGGTGGTGTTGCTGCTGCTTTTGCTGTTGAACTTTCACTTTATTGTTGATCCCCCTCACCGGTGCATATTGTTTTTTCTCAATTAAAGTGTGCCCCTCGACGCTCGCACCCAGTTTTTTGACAGAGAAAATCTTCGTGCTCAAGCTGCGCCCCTGGCCCTCCGCATTACAACAAGAACGGCTCCCGCTGGAGAATTCCTCAAAACTTATTCAGGACCTTCGCTCCCGCCTGGGACTTCCTCACAGTTTACTCAGGATCGGTGCTCCCATTAGTGACTTCCTTACAATTTTGTCAGGACCCCCGCTCCCATCTGAAACTTCTTCACAATTTACTCATGAACGGCGCTCCCGCTTGAGACTTCCTCGCAATTGAGCCAAGATTTCTTTAACATTTAATGAAAATTCCCCGCTCCCGCCAGGGAACCTTTTCACATTTTACTAAGGCATTGCGTTCTCGCATGTGACTCCCATGCAATTTCTTCAGACATCGCGCATTCGACGCTCTGGAAACACGCTGCGCCAAGGACGCCGCCACAATTCACTTCAGAATCGCGCTCTCGCCATACTCAGACATCCCGCTTGAACCCACCCGCCCGACCCGCCCGTCAGGGGATCGCCCGCCCGTCGTGGGCCCCCGCCCGAGACTTCCTTCAGGAACATCGCTTTCGCCTAGGACTTCCTCGAACGTTCACGCTGTTACCTTCCTGCTCTATCTCCCTCTCCCTCCTCCCTCCTCCCTCCTCTCCTCCCTTCTCTCTCCCTCCTCTCTTCCCTCATCCTTATGCCTCTCTGCCCTATCCCTTCTCCCTCCTCTCCCTCCTCCCTTCTCCGTCCCCTCTCCTGCCTCCTCCCTCCCTCGTTCTTTCTCTCTCTCTCTCTCTCTCTCTCTCCTCTCTCTCTCTCTCTCTTTTTCTCTACTACTGTTATCAGTATTTTGTTTTTTGTTGTTATCTCTCTCTGCCTTTGTTCTAACCGCCCCCCTTTTCGCTCCTTCTCTCCTGGCGTTGTCCCTCTGTCTTCGTCCCTCCCCCTCCCTTCCTCCCACTCTCCCTCGTTCTCCCCCTCCGCTTTTGCAGGGCCCACACCAATTTCAAAGGCGGGCACATGTACGCCCACGAAGGATTGTCCGCCCGTTCAGGTCTGCTCGCCTGTCTAAGCCCGCCGCCCCCCCCCCGCAAAGAAAAAAAACCAAGGGGGGGTGATCGAAGACAGAAAGGGCGGGTATCGAGGGTGTGGGGGAATTCGTTTTGAACGGCACACGGGCAAGTAAGAGCGAACAGCCGTCTTATAATGATTGTTGTTGTTGATGTTGTTGTTGCTGTCGTTGACATCGCTGTAGTAGCAGCTTGTTGTAATTGTTGTTGTTGATATCGGGCCCCTCAGATCCCATGGGCCCGGGACTACCAGGAAGCGTATCAGGAGGAAGAGCTCCTGCTGGAGCCAGGCCCCAGCGTCCAGGATTCCTTTCCCTCGTGACCCGTTGGCCCCCATCATGTTAAGTGTGGAGGTATTCGAGGTCGTTGTGTGTGAGTGTTCCTCGGTTTCCGTTTTTTTCTTCCCAAAGGGGGGAAAAGGGTCGAGCCTCCCGACGGGGGTCACGATGTCCTGCTGCGGCTCTCGCGTGGTCTCGAGGGCCTCCGAAGCCTGATTCCTGTGTTCTCGGTCCGTCTGCGATGGTGTTCGGCGGACCCGAGGACTCGAGGAGGAAAAGGTGGAGGCGGAGGAGGAGGAGGAGGAAGAAGAGGAGAAGATGGACGAGGAGCCAAGGTGGTGCACGCCCCCCACGGGGCTTCGGACTGGCTGGCGAACCCCTCTTGGCGATATGTTCGCCCCCGCGGGCCTCTGGCACCGACCCCCTCCTCAGCATTGGGCCCCCTTGCGGCGCCGACCCACACAACAAAATCCGTGTCTGTGCAGTCGGTGCCCTTTTGCGACGGGGCTGGACCTGAATGGTGTCTTGGCCATCTCGTGGGCCTTTTTCTGTTTTTCTTCGTACTGGTTTGCATCATTGGGAACCGATGGGCAGTGGGGGGGGAAGACGGACACCCAGAACACATTGGGAACATCTACAGGATCCTGGGATCTGTGTTTCTGTATTTGTGCGTCCCTGGGCCTCTTCAAACACGTGGAACACTTCAGGCATACAATTTTTCCTTCTGACCGTTTGCAATGTTCACAACCTCCAGGAGGTACTCCGTGATATGTTCGTTGTGCCGTTGCACAGTCATTGTGCCAAGAAGGTTATCTGACTTCTCAACCATGGAGGAGAAAAAACGGCCCCCCTGGAGTAGATCTTGGCTGTTTTTGTTGGCGGCTGCTTTGAGCAAGCGGAGCCTCTCTTGCAGAGGTTGCACGGTTCCAAGCAGCCGCACGAAGCAGAGGTCTGGAGCTAGACCCCCCTCCCCCTTTCGCTCAATGTCGAAACGCCGAATAAACCAAAGTTCATGTTTGGTTTGAGCAAAAGGGTTGTCAGAACATTTCTGGGGTGGATAGGGGCAGCGTTCAAACTGTAGTCGGTTTGAAAGCGTGGTTTCGCTGTAGCGCCAAGCGCATGAGCCTTAACAGTTCGGGGCAGTTTCGGTGATGGACGGGGGGCCGTTTTCAATACATGGCTCTCGCTTTCGCGCCGCGCACGTTTGCCTCAACAACCCGCGTTTTAGCCCTGACGGGCTAACGCTAGGAAATCTTAAGACAGAGTGAGTGAGCTGTATGGCTTCATGCATTATGCTTTGTTGTTGTCTGTTGCGAATAGTTGTCTTACTTTCCTTGGTCGGATTATTGTCTGCTTGTTTTTGCTCCATCGCGTGCCAAGGGGCGCTACGCTGCCAATGCGCAGCCGCTTCTCATGCATAAAATGGAAATCCTGTAGAAAGGATGCGGCTTCTTGCCCATGACGGGAGCAATTTGCGGGCCAAGTTCCAAGTTTCCCGTTGAGGGGTCGACGTCGCATGGCATGCCGATGCTCGCGCAGAGCAATCAATTCGAAGTATGTGCTATTGGTAGTTCGTAGCTTTCTGCTCGTGCTGTTTCCAGATCCTTGCATGGGGATGTATTGGTTTTGACAGGTAAGCGCAGTGTAGTGCAGATTGTAGGCGCGACCTGGAAGTATTTGTTCTGGATGAACTCGGCAGCTAAATGCATAAGCAATTCGCCAGGTTCACTTTGAGAGCTACGTCGCTGCCTCAAGTTCTCTGGCTCATTTTGCCTGGCCTGTTGTATCGCCCCGCGAGAAATTGCTGCATGATCCTGCTGAATTTCCAGCATTTGGTTTCCGGCTTAAGTTCCTGTTTGATTTTGCTGTGCGTTGTCTTACTTAAGTTCGGACACCATTTCTTGCTTAAGGTCCTGCTTAGTGTTCTGTTCACTTATTCTTCTTAGTTTCCTATTCATTTTCCTGCCAGATTCTCCTGCTCAGCATGCCCCCTTTCAATTAGCAGTATGAATGAAGCAGTCTCCGCTACGGCGGTGATATATGTCCTTAGCGACTTCGTTAATGATCGCCGCTAACTCATAGCGAATTCGTGTATACACTGCGCATACCAAAACTAGCGGGCAAGTAGCGGCGTTAAGTCGCGGGTACTTCCGGGGAATTTCTTGTGGAAAGATGATGTGCCATTGATGTAGGGTTCAACGAGGGTCTGAATTAGCGCCGGCATGCGTCGCCTACATTAGCGTTGAATTCAACATCTAGATCAGCGCTTGAAGTAGCACGGACTTCATCTTCCTGTTTAAGTTCTTGCTTACGTCTCCTGTTTAAGTTAATTCTTCATGGCCCCTTTGATGTTCCCTCAGAGTGACCATGCTTAATATCCAGTTGATTGTCCCTTTTCGAGTTCTTGCTTAATGTCCCTGGTTAAATAGTGTCCTGTTACCTTTCCAGCGTAGTGCCCTTCTCATTTGTCTAGCTGAATGTCATGTTTAGTGAAACGGATCACTTTCCTGCTTTCGCTCCCCCTGCTTAATTCCCTGTTTCATTTGTGTTGCTTGATTCGCTTCAGACTTTTACGTATCAGTAGGTTGCATAAGTTTCTTTGTCAATCGTTCTGCAGATCCTGGTTTAGTGTACAAGCTTCAAATCGGCTCCACTTCTTGTTATAAGCCTTGAGCTTAAATGTGAATTCCATGTTGGGGTTTAGTTTGTGTGCTCATGTTCTGGACTAGACTGAATTATTGACGTCTCGCATATCCCCACCAGAAAAAATGAAGAAAACACAGAAAACACCGTTGTGCTCCCGAACAGCGTGATTCGGATACGATGTAAGCGCACAAGCTACCGGCTGGAGGTTGCTCAGCCTCGTGAGCGCACACCAGTGGTCTGCCTCTTACTGGATGGTGCTCTGACGCGGATCAGCCACACCTCAGCTTCAGTGAGCCTTGGTGAGTCGGGTCACCCTCGCCGCATCATCGTATGCTCGTGGAGCTGCAGTGAGTCTGAGTTAGTTGCTTTCGCTCGCGCTCACCCGCCTTTTTCCAAGGTCTTGGACGGCCTGGCTCTGTGCACACGCGTGGGTTCCGTCTGGTCATTGGCCGCTCGGACTCGCCATCTGCCCGCGGCTTATTACAGTGTCTTGCTGTCCGTCTTGGCCTCGCTTCCGATTACGGTTCGGCTGGAGCTTGGCGCCGCAAGGGCGACTTCTCCCCCCCGTTCCGTTGCCGCCTCGTTGCCGCGCCTTTTGCTTCCCCACCAGCCGGGCTGTCTGGGCCGGTCACAAGCAGACACTGAAATGCGTATCAATGAGGGGCATTTTGTTGTTGGCATGTGCATGTGCCGCTGCGTGTGTTGTCCGCTGGAATCCGCGGCAATCTCGCGCCAATTATCTACGTACCGCGCCCCGGACGTTG